ATTTCAACCTGTAAACACAGGTCGAAAAAGAAATAAACTGATATGAGGGTCTGTATTGGGGGTTCTTCATTTCATTTTTTTTTTATCTATTTTGCCCATGCATGATTCTATATTCTTTAGATTTTAATACCCAATGATTCTCTATACTTTATTTTTTGGCCGGTTGTTCTCCACTCATTTGTTTTTGCCCTTTATTTATTCTGCACTTTTTGACCATTAATCTCTATTCTGTATACCCCCATCTAGACCGTCTGATATCTGAATACCTTATTTATACAAGTTAGAAAATGGGTGTTTGATTAAAAGATGAAAGAAATCTTGTACAGGTGAAAAGGGTAAACAAAGCTAGCAGTTATTCCACAAAACTGAAATATGCACTTGTCACGGGGAATTGACACTTTAGATTTATAGTTTATAGGTATTTAAATTTATAGTGTTAATAAAGAACAAAGGGGGTCGGTAATGTTTTTATAAGTACTTAATGCAAAAAACATAAAATAATATATAGTGTTGTGTAAATAAATTCTACATTATTTGCATTTTATGTGTATATTTTGGTTTACTTTTGTCAGTTTTATTATTATATATTGACTGAAATCTTTTAAGGTTGTATCTGAGGGTATATTTCACGTTGGCATGTGAAGTACGGTTTTCTAAGTAACGGTCTATTACCTAAAGTCTTTATTCCGAAATAAATGACATATTAAATTTTAATAAAATCTAATAAGTACTTGACGACAACATGACAACTTTTCTAGTCTACCAATAAAAGTAAATTAAACTTTTACAAGACTTGGTTCTGTGTAACGGATAATTGGGTATTTTTATCTTTTACACAACTGACTGATGTCGAAGTTGGGGTTGATGTAAGGGGTGCCCTGCGACAATTTTCCTTGTCTGTCTTTTAAATACACCCTTGGACCTATAAGCAACAATCAATAAATCATATAACAAAGTCATACTTATCAATTAAGGATGTTCGCTCCTCTTGTTTTTGAATTTTTGCCAGATATTCGCAATCCCCTGGTTTTATTCTTGTAGTGATATTAAAAAATTTTGACCACTTACCACTACTTTTCTTTCCAAAATTTGATTACATATAGTTTAAAATGTCATCTTTAAAAATCTTATAAAATCCTTGTTATTTTTTCATCGTATTTGAAAGAAAAAAGGTGCCAATGTTAAATGCATGAAAAATCTAGAGAGAATTATTTCCCGCCAAATTTTCAATGGCTTATATCTCGAAAACAAGCACACGGACCCTTCATTTTTCTGCCTATTCAGTTTCTTTATTTATATACTATCAATTATAACAGTCTTTTGAAAAGCTTGTTATGTTGAAACAGAGTGGCGAACATCCTTAAATAAAAGATATAAAAGTGATGTGAAATGTGTGTACTTTTGGGATTAGTTTCAGTGTAAAAAAATAGGTTTTGTTCTCATCTTTTAAAATCAGCAATGCCGAAGTTGAAGTCCGCAAAGATTACCTTCTTAAAACGACATACAGGACATGCCTGATAATTGATTTGCTTTTGATTAAAATAAAATTAGAAAGATTTTCTTTCTGTATTTTCAAACAAGCGTTTTTAGAACGTCAAATCTTTGTCCTTTCATCTAACGCTAAAATAGCTTTATTACTGTTATGTTTAATCAAATTACAAAATAAATTTTCTATAGGTCACCATTAGGCCTTCAATAATGAGCATAACACATGCCATATAAAATAAAAGGCTCGGCATAACAAAATTTTATACAATTCAACCTTTAATCCCAACTGCCTGATTCAAGACAAAACAATATGCTAAAAACAAAAATGACAGACACCAACAAACGACAAACACTGAATAAATAGACTCATGATCTTGTTTATATACCTGCCAATCAAAATCGAAGGTAAGGTACGATCGAGAGGCTACATGTAGAAATGAAAGCACACAAGCTGGTCCTTTTATCAGATATAATGATCTCTCGATGGTATTTTTGATCCCTGTATAATTGATGTAAATTATGCTTAAACTAAAAAGTCCAACTTATTTTTCATAATTTCTTAAATTTTGGCTATTTACTTTTGGTATTCTTTTAATTAATATAGCTCAACTACTATATGTGGTGATACAAATTTTTGCATTTCGAAACATAAACGGAGCCACAGTGGCACTGTTACCCCTTCTTATGACCGAAACATGTGTTTTGGTACATTTTTTGACTTGTTACTGTCTATTATGGTTAACCGTTCCGTTCTGCCTACTATATATAAGTTTTAAGCTCTAATCTGTTAATTTATTTTTGACAAAATCTTGCTAATATATTTATCAAGCCTTGACATCGTACCAGCATGCCGCATTTGCCTAGATAACACATCAACTAATATCTGTTGAATACATTGATTTCATGAGAATGCATTAATCACCGTCATTATACGATTCTGATGTGTTACATTGCCATTTAAGACGGAAACAGATTATATATTGGTCTAATGAAATATTAATGAGCCGGGGAGAGTATTGTGCACTGAACATTTATTTCAAATCTTAATTTAAATTCAAATTATGTTTCCTGATCGTCTGTTCTGTTAATGATGTTATGTAATCCTATAATGTTACTGAAACTAACATTTTCCAATTACTTAATTTGCATAAAAGAGCAAGATATTTACAACTATTATCCACACGATACAACAATGGAATTATATTTTTGTATATTAAATAAAGATTATGCTTGTTTCTTAGACACAGATGAACATTTGGTAGGTATACTGAATATATACAGTCACAGATTTGTAAAAGGTTTTGTGTGGGCGCGAAAAAGATCGTCTAAATATGCCATTGAAAATGCGTTATCTAACAACATTTTACTTTGTGTTGCCAGTAAATAAATGGAAGAGTGGTTGGTATCCGTTATTCATCACAAAACACTGTTTTTCACCAGACAGCAATCAATTATTTACGCACAAAACCAAATTGTAAGGTAAAGTACATTGCAGTAATGCAGAAACTTGGCGAGTTTTAATCATTCGATTCACTTTCAGTGGTACTTTTATACTCTTTGTAATACTTTGACCACAGTGGTATGTTTATACTCCTTGTAATACTTTGACCACAGTGGTATTTTTATACGCGTTGTTATACCTTGACCACAGTGGTATTTTTATACTCCATGTAATATTTTGACCAGTGGTATTTTTATACTCCTTGTAATACTTTGACCACAGTGGTATTTTTATACTCCTTGTAATACTTTGACCACAGTGGTATTTTTATACTCCTTGTAGTACTTTGACCACAGTGGTATTGTTATACTCCTTGTAATACTTTGACCAATTTCACGGTATGTGCATAACTCGTTAGGTAATGATTGTGTTTTTTTTATCGAATGGAATATATGATTGATTGAAAGATTATTGCTTACCTAACGTCCAGTGGCAAACATCGCAAGCATGTCCAAGACAAGAACATATTAACAAAAATACCAAAAAAGGATATTGTAATATTGTAATAGATGCTGTCCAAGATGACGGTCGGGCAAATTTGGACAGCCACTGAAAATTTGGGGTATTACTGCCAATTGGAAGAAGATTAAAGTGACTTGGGGGGAGATATCACAAAGACGATATATTTTGTCAGTAAAACAATGACACCCACTGTACCTGTAGCATGAGTTCCCGATATGATTCTACGTAAAAATCATTTAAAGTGGTACATAACACTACAGGGTGATAACTCTGAAAAAATCAGCTGAACGTTTTAATCACGTTCTATTGTTAAGGAAATATTAAGCATCTCAATGATCAAAATTAGTGTTTGTCGGACTGCTATATATCTATTGAATTTTTCCGAGAAAGTGTGTAGTTCAAGTTTTTTGAAATTTTTATATTTTTTGTCAAAAGGTCAAAGTAAATATTTTGTCAAAATTTTATGAAAATTAAACCAGCCAAATTAATTTTAGTCAAGGTGTTTGGTACCACTTTAAATTGACGGATTGTTTGATTATTGTTTTCCTTACAGTTACAAAATGAAGCTTAGCAAGTAGTAACATAAATGACAAAGCACTTCAAGTTGATGAGGTCTATATTTTCAACGAAATACCATTTTATTATTTTTTGATGATGCGTCAAAACATTTTCTTTTAATTTCACATGCATCTGATGTAAAAGAGATACATTATGAAAGGTAGTATTTCGTCCATTTTCTATTAACCAATATAATTGAAATAACAAAAATACCGAACTCCAAGGAAAATTTAAAATGGAAAGTCCTTTATCAAATGGCAAAATCAAAAGCTCAAACACATCAAAGGAATGAAAAACAACTGTCATATTCCTGACTTGGTACAGGCATTTCCTTATGTAGAAAATAGTGGATTAATAAAACCTTGGTTTTATAGCTACCTAAACCTCTCACTGGTATGACTGTCACATAGAACTCTCGAGTAAAATGGTTTACAATACATTTCATCATTTTTTTCTAAAAATCAAGGCAATACGATTTTTTTAAAAAAATCAACTAAACTAACTAAACAAGATTCAAATGAAACAAATAACAGTAAATACTAAAAAAATGATACATCAACCACCTCTAATATAAATAGTTAAATCAATGTAATAATTGTGTCCTTATGGTCAACACTAAATACACTTACATATTAAACTTAGTACAGTTTTAGCACAAACTTAAACTCGAATCACAATTAATAATGAAAATTGACAGATTGTGTCCTTCTTTATTTTTTGGTCTGTTTATGCTATTTTAATTTATTTTTTTTTAAATTTTTACATTAATATAAAACATATTGCGTTTATTTATCTGAATAAAAAAAACGGACGTTAAAAAAAATTGTAAACAATTAAACTATAAATGAAAAAATATACAGTCACTATAAATGAAAAAAAATATACAGTCACTATAAATGAAAAAAAAAACCAGTCAGAAAAAATATATAAATTTAATCCTGTTATAGAAAATATATATATATATGAAATAACAATACAAAATTCGACCTACCTTTATCTTGTATGTGCAGCGGTTACAATAAACTGTTAAGTATTGACATATACTGAAAGGCAATACACGAATTAAATACCGAAACGATCACAGATTTTCAATAACTGACGCATTCAGCCGTGATACGAGTAAAAATGAAAGTATTTCATACAACTTAGTTTACTATCAATCAAAGGTTTGATTTAAATGTTCTAGTGCGAATAGATATGTGGCATGATAAGTTTATTTATAAATATTCTGAAACGAGACTCGTTACCTCTTTACTATTTTTTATTTAGCGAAACGTAGTAATGCATGTATCCATACAATTTGAGGAAAAGCAAACTGTAATATATATAAAAAAATGCATTGTAGATATAGCTTCTGTACATAGATTTAGGACATTGTTGTAATTTTGTAAAAAGGCAGAACTTGATACTGAATGAGGGTGTTGACGGGGTTTACAGAATAGAGAATAATGGGCAAAAAAATAAAGATTAGAGAAAAATGGGCAAAAAAATAAAGACTAGAGAATAATAGGGTGCTAGAATATAAAGAATAACTGCAAAGATTAAAGAATTGGATAAAAATATACTGATTACAGAAAAGAACAATGCCCAGAATACAGTTATTAATTAATCACAGAATAGCCATTATTTTCAAAATAAAGAATGATGAGCGAAAAAAATAAGAATACAGAAATGAAGGACCACCCCATCCATACCCTCCTGAATGGGGATTTTTGCACAAGAAGGAGTCCGTACAAAAATAATTGCACAGTAATGTCCGGTCTTACAATGTATTGAGGGAGTTAAGTTAAATACGTGTGTTAGTTTTAAATTCAAACAGCACGTTAAACAACTGTCGAGAGGCTTCCATTTTGTTGTATGGGAAGTATAACACGATGTCATGCACGTGCGCTCTACAGGAAAATGTTAATACTATACAGTCACATATGTCAGTATGTCAGGCTCTGTACTGTGCAAGAGTCCTTACATTGTACAACAACTACAAAGAGGCTTCAATTTTGTTATGTGGGATGTATAACATGCTGTCATGCACGTGCGCTCTACAGGAAGATATTAATAATATACACAAATGTCATTATGTCAGGCTCTGTACGTGCAAAAATACTTAAATTGTACAACAACTACAGAGAGGCTTGCATTTGGTTGTGCGGTGTGTATAAATACGTTTATTGTCAGACTGTCTGCACGTTCAAGAGTCCTTACATTGTACAACAACTATAGAGAGGCATGCATTTGGTTGTGCGGGATGTATAGCACGTTGTCATGCACGTGCGCTCTACAGGAAGATATTAATAATATACACAAATGTCGGTATGTCAGGCTCTGTACGTGCAAGAGTCCTTACATTGTACAACAACTACAGAGAGGCATGCTTTTTGTTGTATGGGATTTATAACACGCTGTCATGCACGTGCACTCTACAGGAAGATGTTAATAATATACACGAATGTCAGTATTTTAGGCTATCTGTACGTGCAAGAGTCCTTACATTGTACAACAACTACAGAGAGGCTTGCATTTGGTTGTGCGGTGTGTATAAATACGTTTATTGTCAGACTGTCTGCACGTTCAAGAGTCCTTACATTGCACAACAACTATAGAGAGGCATGCATTTGGTTGTGCGGTGTGTATAAATACGTTTATTGTTAAGCTGTCTGCACGAGCAAGTGTCTTTACGTTGTACAACAACTACAGAGAGGCGTGAATTTGGTTGTGCGGTGTTGTCAGGAGTCTGTCAAATATTTTTTTAAAGGGTCGTCTCGTTGGTTTATGTTTGTGCGCCTTTTGATATACAGTCACATCAGATCAGCAAGGAGATGTGTTTTATAAGTCCCAGATACTGGAGACGAAAATGGCTGTTTTGAGAGTTGGTGGTTTAGTGTGCCGTAAAATTAAGATAGGACTACATTGGTTTCTCTCAAATTGTTCAAGTAATGATAGTTTTACGTGTTTTTCGTTTCGTAAAAAAAAAATTCACTATATATGGACTTTGATTCCGAACGTGAATATACACCTTGCAAATATATACGAATAGGTACTCGCCAAAACTCATAAAAAACCAAGATTTGGGGAAAATAAAGTTCCGATCCGGTACACTTTACACATTTGATTTCCTGTAAAGAGCATTCATTGGGTGATAGATCTCCTACGACAAACAGCAAAAAACTGTTCAAAAATAAGTTTCACTTCTTTATAAATATCAAAATTAATTATCTTGAATGTTCCTTCATTTATGTTTTCTTGCTTAACGTCCAGTGACAAACATTTTATACATAATCTGGATGATATTCTCGATGAAAACCAACGGCCACACGTGAATTAAGTTTTTACAACTTCTTCTTTGTTAGTTTCATGATTTAACAAGTAACATATGAGTGACTATTTGTTTACAAATGTTCTTTTCAATGAATGGATATTTAAACAAACTTCACAAATTATTTCAAGCCTCGTTAATTTCATTAAATGCACTTATCAAATATCAATTTGATTAATTTGGTCTTTAAACAAATAAAGGAAAAGAAGTGATCTGATGAATAACTTCATGACCTAAAACCATTTATTTCAATTTGCTAAAACACAAAGCAAAGGAACAGCGCTTTCTATTGCCGTTTTCCATCTTAAAGTCGCAATGATCAAGATGTTGGTCGGTATCAACTCTGCATCTGTAATGAACAATAACATGACTCCCCTCCCCCGCCGCCAACATAAATATGAATTAAACCAACCAACAACAAAGAATCAAACTAAAGAAAAAAATGTGTGTTTGCTTGGCTTTTTTTTTTACATTTGAAAATTCTGTTTATATAGTCAACAGCATCGAAAACATCAACCTTGACCGAATATAGAAAGACTAAACACGTGTTCTGGCAACGTTCCGACACGACAGGCTATCGTATGTTAAATAGAAAAATACGTGTACTCGCAACGTTCCGACACGACAGTCTATCGTATGTTAAATAGAAAAATACGTGTACTCGCAACGTTCCGACACGACAGTCTATCGTATGTATATAGAAAAATACGTGTACACGCAACGTTCCGACACGACAGTCTATCGTATGTTAAATAGAAAAATACGTGTACTCGTAACGTTCCGACACGACAGTCTATCGTATGTTAAATAGAAAAATACGTGTACTCGCAACGTTCCAACACGACAGTCTATCGTATGTTAAATAGAAAAACACGTGTACTCGCAACGTTCCGACACGACAGTCTATCGTATGTTAAATAGAAAAACCGCAACGTTCCGACACGACAGTCTATCGTATGATAAATAGAAAAATACGTGTACTCGCAACGTTCCGACACGACAGTCTATCGTATGTTAAAAAGAAAAATACGTGTACTCGCAACGTTCCGACACGACAGTCTATCGTATGTTAAAAAGAAAAATACGTGTACTCGCAACGTTCCGACACGACAGTCTATGGTATGTTAAAAAGAAAAATACGTGTACTCGCAACGTTCCGACACGACAGTCTATCGTATGTTAAATAGAAAAATACGTGTACTCGCAACGTTCCGACACGACAGTCTATCGTATGTTAAATAGAAAAATACGTGTACTCGCAACGATCCGACACGACAGTCTATCGTATGTTAAAAAGAAAAATACGTGTACTCGCAACGTTCCGACACGACAGTATATCGTATGTTAAAAAGAAAAATACGTGTACTCGCAACGTTCCGACACGACAGTCTATCGTATGTTAAAAAGAAAAATACGTGTACTCGCAACGTTCAGACACGACAGTCTATCGTATGTTAAAAAGAAAAATACGTATACTCGCAACGTTCCGACACGACAGTCTATCGTATGTTAAAAAGAAAAAATACGTGTACTCGCAACGTTCCGACACGACAGTCTATCGTATGTTAAAAAGAAAAATACGTGTACTCGCAACGTTCCGACACGACAGTCTATCGTATGTTAAAAAGAAAAATACGTGTACTCGCAACGTTCCGATACGACAGTCTATCGTATGTTAAATAGAAAAATACGTGTACTCGCAACGTTCCGACACGACAGTCTATCGTATGTTAAATAAAAAAATACGTGTACTCGCAACGTTCCGACACGACAGTCTATCGTATGTTAAAAAGAAAAATACGTGTACTCGCAACGTTCCGACACGACAGTATATCGTATGTTAAAAAGAAAAATACGTGTACTCGCAACGTTCCGACACGACAGTCTATCGTATGTTAAAAAGAAAAATACGTGTACTCGCAACGTTCAGACACGACAGTCTATCGTATGTTAAAAAGAAAAATACGTATACTCGCAACGTTCCGACACGACAGTCTATCGTATGTTAAAAAGAAAAAATACGTGTACTCGCAACGTTCCGACACGACAGTCTATCGTATGTATATAGAAAAATACGTGTACACGCAACGTTCCGACACGACAGTCTATCGTATGTTAAATAGAAAAACACGTGTACAGGCAACGGTTCGGCTCGACAGTTTATTTTCTATCGAACATCTGAACAATTCATCTTATATCGAACATCTGAATATGTGTATAGACAACGGTTCGGCTCGACAATTAATCTTATATCGAACATCTAAATGCATGTACGTGTACAGACAACGGCACGATTCGATCAATCTTAACGGAATATTAAGATAGTGGAACAAAAAGGCAAGAGACAAACGTATCCACACCTGCTTCACTTGTCTGTTACCAAATATATCTTATCAAAAGTGTTTAGAATTTCTCATTATCATATTAAATACCAAAGTCAACGCCAATCTCCATTTAGAATACTATCTTAATCTGTTGTGAATAATAATATTTACCGCCTTTTATTCTACACAGCAATTAATATTTTGATCATGTGTAATAAACAATGATCCGTGGTAGTTACTTTGATCAAAAGATATTCGGTCAAATTGAAAGATCGAATTTTACTTAGATTGGTTAAATATTCTGTGTTAAATACTTATGAACTGTATTGGTATTAACTATGTTATTAACTGCGGATACATTGATACTGTTTAAAATTGTCGACTTTAGACTTCAGAGTATATAGTTTTTGACAGGTTACTTACTCTCTGGTAGGACATTCTGGTAGTCGGTCAAGTAAGAGTTACTAAAA